ATTGCACTTACACTTACTCAGTGATGTGTCGATGAGAGAGAGCAGTTGTTTTTGAGCGGCGTGCGGACGCGGTTGGTTGGTTGCCAGATATATACTGACTGCTTAACAAGTTCTCGTGTTCCGTGTAGACGTGGGGTAGTGGTTCTTTGTGCTTCTGTCATTATCACGTAATACTAAGAATGTAGTCTTCTCACACGTTTCATTGCTACTCTTTCATCATTTAGCTTTATAATAAGCAGCTTTTTAGATATGCATCAATTTCTTGGCATTTAAGAAGATTAAAGTGATTCACGAAGAACTACTCAAATTTGAAGGTATTCTAGTATTATTTGACTAATTTCTTCACTGCTATTATTTAAGAACTCACACAAAAATTACACGAACAGTCTCTTATATGCCTCAAAACTAGTGCTCTTATTTTCTCATTCTTGTGCCATTCTTCACTTTAGCGCAAATTATCTGATGTCATTTGCATTCAGGTCGAACTTCGACCTTCAAAACCGTGGATGTTCTAAATGCATGGACAATTCGTCCATCATCTTATATTTGTCGGGTATGTACAAATTATGGGAATGTGGCCATTAAATGTTTGAAATGGCTGCATTCGAACTATTAAACGCATTCAAAGCCAATAATATTTCCTATTACTTCCTTTCAACTTTCTAAATCTCATGTTGAAAGGAAGTTTCGCAGGTAATATTTCTAGAGATTTTCCCAAGTTCGTTCACTGCAGTTAGTATTTATCAATATAAAGTACGTATATTTGAAATGGCCGCAAATTAGGAATATTCGTTTATCTCTGCTATGGGAATTGATTTTAGTAATTGAAGTTGGAATTTTCCTTTTTTCCTCTCATAAAGTTTGTCAGAAATGCTTATGAGGATTTTTCAAACGACTGATCTCAATAAGTATGAAAAGTCCATATGAATTATATAGGTATCCATAATGCTGCTGACACTTTACATGTTGCTGCTATGTTTTCCAGGTCTACGTGGGAAGCATGAATGTGCAATGAGAGGATTTAAAGATTAGTTCTACAACTCTTCCCGTTGCAACATTTTGAATTAATGGTCGCTTGTAACAATCGCCATTCGTGATAAACATTATTTTTTGTTTCACATAATATTTTCTTTTACACGTATCACGATTATTTTATTGCTACTTTGCGTTTATATTTATGTTGTTCACTTTAATGATTGTCTTAACACTAAATTCTTAAGATAGTAGCTAGAATTATATAAGTCTTTAAATATAGATTTTTTGTGCTGTTCGTTACAATATTTTGTAATCTTGATTCCAAAAAATACATACCTCACATTACAATGTTCTGTTATTATTAAATTATAGATGAACAACAACTCGAACAATTTCAAAGAACCACTCATTTTTTCAAGAATGCGCATCTTGCATTTCTTCGTGAATACACAAATATTTTGTTTGTTATGTAATATTCATAACAATTCGGTACACCATGGATGTTGACAGGATCGATTCAGTATAGCAAGATTTAGTAGCTAGAAATACATAAGGACTTTTATTACTGCGAAATATTCTTAATGAATCTGTTGATTCTCTAATGAGTTTTATAATATAGAACATGATTGCAGAGATAAAGGGATTTATTAGACTTTTACTGAATGCGATGCTCAATGTTGCGACATAATAGTAACTATAGCGTCGGAGGACTAAATTTCTTCACGAGAAACAAGTTCTATTCGTAATTCATAAATATAGTAGTGAATAACCATTTTGCAATCGATGCTTTTGCAATTTTCGGTGCAGCGATATTTGTGATTGGAAATGGAAAGAAAAGTTTTTTGATGCTTTACCTTTTTTGCTAACCATAGACCAAATATCGAATACTTTTATCCTCAAATGTGACCCAGGACCTGCTCTTGGGACGACGCAAATTCAAAGATTCGTCAACGAAAACTTTTCTTTAATCAAACAATTATGACACAAAGAAACGCATGCTCATTTCAAAACACCTGATTCCCCAACTCTCTTTCACATTCCATGCTTTATTATACAGCAGGCAAATGACAGTAACACTCAACACTTATTTTTGCAAACAAATGAAGGCATGCATGTATGCTAGTCGTGGTATTTTTAATAACTCAACATTTGAAACAAAATTATTTTGTTCTATAAAGTTAGCTCACTCACAACAAGTATACGTTCCTACAATGTGGCACATACTTTTCTCAGCTCCAAACATATTCTGTCTTGGAGGTGAGGATATCACGCTTCATCCTTTGGGGTAATATTTCCGAATTGTAACCACATTGATGAATCTGACACTGAAGCTAGCTCATTTTCGCGCATCCTGTATAGCTTTGAATGACAAATTTTCTTTTACATTTCGCTATACAAGAGTGCTTTCTACGTTCTCAGTGGTCTCTGAGGTTGTATTTAGTATGGAAATGAGGTATAATAGTTGCTAGGTACGTATTATGAGCCTTTTCCCGCTTTAAATCGCTGCCCCCTAGTGTATAAGAGCGCGGTTTCTGCAAATACTTCATGAAGCTGCAAAAGCATACGCCTATTTCTTTGTTCAACGTTGTAAAATCAACGTCCAAGCTCGTTTAAATTTTGATTTCAGCAGCAACTTTTCTTGAAAAACGACTAATGATTAAGCAAGTCATACAATAAAATTCGCAAAGTATTCACTATAGAGAGATTAAATTTACAAATTAATTTGTGAACTGAGGCATTTAAAAAGTACATGGTTTAAAAAAAATAGATTTTAAGGTTAACAATCATAGCAATTGACCTGTAAATGAAAGAGTTACACATACAGAGAATACTTTTGATGCGAACTGCTATTGCATTAATAACTGGTCTATCTGTAGTTTTTTTTGTTTCAGAATATGAGGTTAGAAAAGAGGTTTAAAATTTTTCAAATTTAAATTTCTTGATATATGAAACTCTTTAATTAACTGGCGTACTTTCAAGAATTGGGTAAAGTTATGTGAATATACTTAGATTTCAACAATTAAAAATTTTTGCTTTTATAATTCTTGAAATAACAATAATAATATTCAAAAAATGCATCATTGTGTTCGTATGCATTTCAAATTTCACTCCAACTATGCTAGTTATTTATCATTTCACTTTCGAGCTTATTAATTGGAAACCATCTTTCGTTGAATTTTTTATCTATTCGACTATTTATTACCAAGTTGTGTGAAGAGACAAACTCAAGATGAAGTAATGCGTTACTTTCCAGAATCATTTTACTAAATTACAATCTAAATATACTTTGACAGGTTCTCATTTCAAGAATGGAATAAGTACAACACTTTCCTGAATTTTGAATGCAAAGTGATGCCTGCATACTAAACATGTATTTTTTGAAAATTGTTGGGCCAGTATTTCGTATGACTTTATGGCTATATTCCTAATTAGTAAACAAAAATGTCAATTAATGTATGATAATGATGATACTACATATGCTCAGTGAAATTCTTTTAAACAGCTGTGTGCGACAGAAATATTTAGCTTTAATGAATAAGATTTTAAAAAGAATGCAAGTTAAAAATCATGGCAAGCGCAGCGTGTACTGAAGTAAAATTCAGAAGTATTGCATATCGATAAAAAGATAGAAAACAATACATTAACATTAACATGAAAAGAACCACATACGTTTGCAGAGTTACCTTGACACTTAAAGACAAGAAGTAAGAATATTAGAATAAAGAGCAAAAGTAATAATGAGCGATGTAATAATCGCAAGTATTGAATAAACAGAGGTGCATAATTCGTAAAAAATTTATTCAAATGTGATTTTTATGGCCTGTAGAGTACTTCTTGCTATTTGTTGAAGTCAATGACAACAAGATCAGATGAATTGCTAAGACCATACATGCATCATTAAATGAATTACCATACAATCTTTTCTACTTCAGTGGTATAGATGAAATTTGTCCGGTTCATATCCTTGCTTGAGCAAATTTGGACACGATGTGTCGGGCCGTGAAAATTTCTTCGCTCATGTTCGTTAAATGCAAAGAAAGTGAGTGAAACTGAGCTGGCGAAGTAACGTGAATGGTATTTATTTATGGTAAGAATTTACATATTGTTTCTTCTAGTATTAATGTCCTGATAATTTTTTTAATGCTTAACTTTGCTGTTATTTTATTCTTAATAATTACTTTGAAATAATCCTTACCATAGATTTATCCATTCTAAATGTGAGATATATAAGAAATTACATTAGAAATTAATTGTTTTAATTCTGTGTCATTATTAATTTTATTTACACATTTCTTGCAGAATATGTTACGGAGGTCGGTTCGACGATTAGGGGTGTTAGTTTCACTATTAACGATAATTTACACCATCATACTTTTACTTATCAACCACCCGGTAAGTTTTTATTTTGGTTCACTTTATATCTTATACATCATTTTTCTTGTATCCTTGACGTGTCTTTGTGTCTCTGGTCGTTGATATTTTCATTCAAAACTATTAAAGAAATACCATGTATAATAAAATTCCGGAAGAGACAAAGAATCGTCAGTGTTTTAGTATTTATCTCTACATTTGTTTCTATACTGTTTTCCCTTTTCAAGTTCTGTTCTCTATATAAGAAATGTAATTTATGTCAGGAATGTACCTGACGTTTATTTGATCAAATTTTTAGAATAAATTGCCCTCCCAACGTAGTGTACCACCCAAAACCCAGTCAGAGTTGGAAGCTCACGAATTCAAGGTAACACAATGGATAATTGATTGGCATTGCTGTTGCTCCTGTAGTCTTATTTTGACGTTTTTTGGTTAAAAAAAAGATAAGAAAAAATCAAGTAATGTTTTAAGTACAATTCAGGAATCTAGTTTTGCATATCAAATGCATTTTTTTTCAACGTTGCTGTTTTTTCCATTTATACGTAAGTTTAGAAAAGCATTGTGAAAAATTTGGCAGAACCATATGTCGATGACGATCACAATTTTCAAAAAATATTGCATATGTCAAAACCTATACGAAACTACTTTATTGCACGTGAGTTTCTAGAAAAGTTTCTGTTACTTGCTTCCTAGTTATAGGTCTGATGTAGTGAAAGTTATTTTACATAAACTTGTTCAAAACTAGTGGTAATGGAGATAATGGCCATTATTCCTGTAGTTTATGTAGGTGCAAATCAATTGTCAGTTATACTTTCATTGTATTAAAACTGTACGAAGCATTTCTTTTTTTAGCAAATCGTGTTTTTCATCTGGATTTGAAAGGTGCTGCTCCAAAAATGGACTACTTGCTGAAACTTGTGCCATTTGTAAAATTAATTGGAGCAACAGGCATAATGATTGAGTATGAAGATATGTTCCCTTTTACCGGTACTTCTGATTTCCAGATATGTCAAATGTTTTGTTTTAGATTTTCAGTCGTTGTATGAACAGCTACGACATTTACTTTTGGTGAATGTTTGTTTTTTGTATGTCCAAGAAATTTGTTAAGCACAGCATGTCTGCACAGGCAAGCTTAGCGTTGTGAAAGCTGGAAATGCCTACAATTTGGATGAATTGCGACGTTTTCTTCATGTAATTCAAACACATAATCTTGACATCATACCTCTTGTACAAAGTGTGGGACATTTAGAATACATTCTGAAATACCCAAAGTTTGCAAAATATCGTGAAGAGGAACGTTATCCTCAAGTATGATTTTGAAAATTTGTTAACCATATTTTCAGATATAATATGACTTTTGTCCCACATTATATGATTACTAATAACTTTTTTATGTACTTAAATTCAGGTGATTTGTCTAACAGATGAAGAAGCAGTTGATTTAGTTCTGGAGGCATTGAAGCAGGTATTGAATTTACATAAGGATTTTCCTTTGAAGTATTTTCACATCGGAGCAGATGAAGTTTTCCAGGTTTGATATATTGTAGTTGTCAGAAGCTTTTCTATAAGCTTTCTTAGTTTATACCTGCTTTGCGAAATAGTAGTTGTATGTCGTGTAGTATTTTTCCCATATGGGTATGTTAGTTTTTTTTATCAACATTAACGCTTCTTATTAACCGTTTAAATTGAAGTACTAATTCAAAAATATGAAAAGGCAGTTTCAACATCAGGTTGGTCGTTGTGAAAATGACAAAAGGTTCATGATAAGCCATAATGTCGATACTGAGTTCTTATTTCTCAAGCATATTGCACGAATATCGAAATTTGTGAAAGTATGTGTTTTTACTGTCAAATCTAATTACTGATTTCCGTTTTTGATCAAACTATGACAATTTAGTCATATATATCGAGCTGGAGTGATTTAGAATATAATTTGAACTCACTTCACTGTTATAATCCGTAAGTGTTGCAGGCACAAATAGCTAAAAAGGGCGTTAAAATATTAATTTGGCATGATATGTTGGTGAATTTGCAGCCTCAAAGTATTTTACGACATGGGTATTGCTTCAATTTTTTATTAATTTTTCATTACTAATAGTGCATACAAACAACTGAGCTTACCATTGTTAGTTACTAAGTGCCTCAGTTATATTTCCATAGCGTTGTTTGCAACTTCTTCAAAATTTAAGATTTAGTCTATGTTAGCTTTCGCTTTATTTACAGTAAGTGGTTTAACTTGATGTAAGAAAGAATTTTTGACTTGGAGAAAAATGTTCGCATTTTTTTAATATTCTATGTTGACCTTGTTTTTTATTATTTTCAGTTTGAATAAATTGGTGGAACCAGTAGTATGGAATTATATGGAAAATTTGGATGATCAGCTTTTTCCTGATTTTTGGCAGCGATTATCTTCCATGTTTCCATATGCCTGGGGCGCTTCTGCTTATAAAGTTGAGCTTTTGACAGTATACATAATATCAGGACTGCTCTTTGCTAATTAATCACTTAGATCAGTAAGGTAGGACATCTTAAGTGATTGGTCCCATAACTTTTTATTTGCTTTCTTTTTTAGGTGCTGATGGTCCCGATCAGTATGCATCTAATGTTCAACATTACTTAAACAATCATATAAGCTGGTTGAAGCAAATGAATGAACATCATTCGAAATTCAAACAATTTCGGGGTATTATTGTTACTGGATGGCAAAGGTTTATTTATTTATTGAATTCAACATCATTTCTGTAGAAATGATATACACCAATGAAATAAATATGCAGCTATATTTCCTTCATAGAAGCAAATTTAGTCTCTCTCTTTTGAGGCATATATGTTCATGTTATTTTATTTGTCAGACTTCACTTACTTTCAAAGTTAGTTATTTGCTTTATAATAAAGAATGCTGTGGTTACTAATTGTTTTTAGATTTGATCACTTTGCTATTATATGTGAAATTATACCAGTTGGTCTTCTTTCTGCTGCTGTAAATATGGCAGTGTTAAAAAATGGACAATATGATTCTGGAGGTGTGATTTGAATTTTTGCATAAAAGATTGTTAAGTATAATGTTACTAATTATTTTATGCTCATGTTGGACAGGAATCTTGTTTTACCTACATTGTTGCAAAAGCAAAATTTTTTTGGTTAGAAAATTGTATTTTGCATATGGCATCTATTAATACATTTTCACTTAAGAATGAAAAGTTGTATGAATGAAGTATTTAGTGCTGCAGTCGGTTTCCCAGTTATTAAAGTGTTCTTCCATACTGTATTTCGACAAAAATCCATCTTCATTCATTCCGCAATGCACTTTTCCTGGTATGTGTTTTTGTTGTTTCTTAGTTCAAGCCAGTTTAACCTTTTGCTTGTCATTCATCAAATATGGTATGTGTTTTTGTTGTTTCTTAGTTCAAGCCAGTTTAATATCCCACATTTAACAAATGCCACATTTTACTTCGCGAATCGGAAACATACCAAAGAAAAAAAATTGCTGTATATTTAAACTTTTGAAAACACGGATCGAATTGTTATCCATGAAAAACTTTATTTGTAGGTGTACACATTTTTGACGCCATTCAGACTTTGCGCTCTACAATAATTTCAGTCGAAGAGCAAGTTTTCAATGATTATCAGGTTTGTTGCAACTTTTCGGTATAAATATTGATGATGAAAACTCTTTGATATAAAATTTGACGCCATGATTACTATTATTTAGGTCCGTGGATGGATAGCAAGATTCAATGAAAAGCATTCATACACGCAAGCGTGGTATCTTGATCAAGTGTTGTACAAAGTTAAATCATTTCTTCGTGAAATGGAGCTTTGTGAACGAAATATCAAGTCAGTTGTTTGATAATAATTCAAATAGTGTCAGTCGAATTATTGCATTAAATATTTAACGATTTAGCTTGAACACATGTTTCAGGAGTCAAATGCGGACTGTTTTTCACAATGATACAATAGCAGAATTTGTCTTCATATATGTAAAACCAACTCTTAAACGTTTAGAAGAACTCTCAGAACGAATAGATAAGCTGTCTCAGCTCCGTGTCTTTCCAGGACGACCGTTTCCTGTGCAAGACTTTTGAGTAGTCATTTTGTCATTTGAAGCTAGCAGTCATCATTTTTGCATTTCTAGGTGCGGGTATAATATGCATTCATCTATTTTTCGTATTTCTTTTCACCTTCTCCAATTTATTTCAGGATTTATATAAAGTGTGCTGTTTAGTGAAACTTCATTTGGATCTTGTGTGTCATCAACCTGTTTGTTCATCTGAAAGTCAAAATTCTAGTACATATAATTGTTCCCTTCTAAAAATTTATTATTTTGACACTTTAACACTTTTTTTTTACATCGGAGCTTAATTAATGTGATCAGTGTATAAATTGTGCATGATCTAACCCAATTTTTTGAATAAGTAATTATTTTTTTATTTGAGAAATGATATCTATTTACTAAAAATGAGTGGAAAGGACCTTGAAGTAAATTTTCTGATTTTTATTAGGCCGAACCATTCTTATCAATAGTAGATTGTACTTTGTGATTAGCATATAACAGCTAAAAGTACTGAAATAGGAGTGTCTTAATTTCTTACGCTCATCTTTCAGTTTTCCTCCATCCCGTTTGTTTTTAATAGAAATAGTGTTATCTTTTCCTAGGACCGTTAATTCCCTAAAATTTTCGGCTATCTTTTGATATAACATTAACTAAAAGTATATTTTATGGCATATTATGTTATTCTGTGCTGGTGTTTTTAGCAACAAATTTTTAATTCAGTTTGTTTCTTGTTTGTGTTATTTTAATACCATTTCATGCTCATTACTTATGCTTGGATACGACTATTTTTGTTTCTTCATTTTCTCCACGGTTGTTTTTATTCGTTTTTTTATTGTTAATAGATTTGTATCTTCTAGTGCATAATAGTAAGCTGCATGAATAATTGATCTTTACTCATCATAATACTGGTTTACACTTAAGATATTCGATGGTTTGATACAAATTTTTGTTTTTGAAGATATTCTTATTTGTGAATGGTTGGTTGTCAGATGAATTTTCGTTTCTCTTAGATTTTGTCTTTCATAAAATCTGTGAAATGTATTGAAAATCTTATTCATCCTTAATGTTATGGTTATATATATATATATGAATAAGAAGATAACTTTTTCACTAATTATCTTAAGAATACATATTTGTGTCATATTTACTACTTATGTATCACTTGGACAAAATCATATTTGGAATGTCATACTTCATTACGTCGTCGTATGCTTTCATTGTGATCTCGTATTTAGCACAAATTGTATGGTTCAAAAATCTACTTGCTTTCCATGCCGGTGAAGTCTTATGGCAGTTAGCTAAACCTGTTCACTTGAAGTTATTCTGCACATTTGATTATTCCAAACATGAATGCATGGCTAATATTTAGTCGAGATTATGTCATCGTTACAGGTTTCTAAGCGTTTTCATTACATACTTGTTTAGCGTACATAACAGCCTTAAGATGATTTTTATTGCAAATTTTGTCCTATTGTGTTAATAGTTCTGTCAACAACTTATTAAGTTACTGCCATTATGCAAACATTTGTTTCGTAGGTATGCATCTTTCCTTTTACGATATCCTTTACATGCATTTTCTCTCTAATATGCGGTTTTGTGATGTTGGGTAACACGATGTTCTCAAGCAATTGCAGTTACCTGTCGTGAAGCATTTTTTTTATTTTAAATTAAGCGTCTAACAGTGTTTGCTAATGTAAGCCAAGCATCTTTCGTTTCACACGTATTATATTAGTTTTTGACTGTGTTTTCCTCAACATCTGTTTACAGTTATTGTCATCGCATTTTAATTCACTTTGTTGTTGTGTGATCGTTTGAATTAGTTTTAAACAACTCGTTTGCACGAGAGTAAATAATGAAATTCAAAAGTTATTTCAACTAATGCTGCAAACAAGATTGTAAATTCATTGATCATAATCTTATGAAACCCAACAAATCAGTTGCTGCTCTCTCAGCTTTTGACCTCTTGCGACTTTTACTCGACCTGATCCATATTTTGTTGATTTTATAAGTTGTATTGTGCTGTGCTCTACATTTTTATATATTTCGAAAAGATAACTCATAAAAATGGATGGATAGCAAGAGTTCTTGTGGAAGATATTTATTAGAAGTGTTATATATATCGCTGACCAAAAAATTTCATTTCTCGCATTTTTTCAGGAAGTTCTGGAAATGTTCTGTTTTTCTCTAAATAGATAATTTTTATGCAGAATCGAATGTGTGCACACAATGTGAACAAAAAAGATTATGGAGTGATTACTCTTGTTTATTATTAATTCTCACACTGGTGATCCATAGCTTGTGAGCAGTTTCTCTATCACCGTATGAATAGTTATAGTCGATTATCGTAATGAATGGAACAGACATTTGTAGCTTAATAAATTTTAGTTGTACCTGCAATTTATGACATGTTATAATTCAGTAAAACAGTTTCCGTTTAAAATTGAGTTCCTAGTTGCAATTTATCATGCTTGTAAGTGATAATGATGGGGATACTGGTAAGAATAATGAGAACCTTGTTGCTAAGAACATCCAATTATCTGCGGTGGATTTAGATGTCTTGAATTATGCTTAGAAATATGGATAATGCAAGAGAATAATAGGTTCTTCATGTATGAGGTCATAGGAATTATAAGTTTTAGAAACAACAGAATTTACCAGAATCCCTTGTGTTTTGTCCATACTGTGTATGGGCCACTCCAGTAGTGTGGATTAGGCATTATATCTGAGTGATAGAAACGACGTGGGCAAAATAGACTTCTGTATTCTGGTCTTAAGTCAACATAACGATTATACCAAATGTCATCGTACTGAAATTATTTAGTCTCTTATTATAGTTCGAAACATGAGGTGGAGGGGTGAATATATGTATTGAAAATTTTATACATACCAAATCATGATTAAAACAGGACATGTAGCTCCATTGAGGTTTGTATTTACTGCTTTCTTTAATAAAATTTACTGGATCTGCGGTAGTTTTTGTTGCAGTTATCTAAAATATGAGTCTCATATTAGCAAAATACACTTGTTAGTTCTAAATTGAATCCAGCAAACGATAACTTTTACCAATACATAGTCTTACAATCAGTTTTTCCGTCTGGACTCAATAATTTGTCTAAGCAGTATTTTAATGAATAATTTTTCATCAGATCTTTTGAGGCAAAGGAATTAATTCTAGAATTATTTTTTAAAAAATAACCAATATTCTGGGTCGAGATGAATGAAAAAGCGCTGTAGAGTGAACGCGAGGCAAACCGTAGCTCAAGTCTCCCATAATTTCAAATTTTTGAAATGAAATTTGATCGCTGCTGCAATTCACACCTGTCTCAGACGCAGTTGAATACTGAAAACAACTTATTCTCTGCTGATCCTTGCATCTATTTTAAACTTTTCGATAGCTGAAAAGTATACATTTAAAACGCTGTCTAAACGTATATCTTTCTTCTACTCCTATCTTTCTTTATTTGAAATTACATAAAAATAATAAAATTTTGTTTCTGAAAAGTTTTGTTGCAACTGATGGAAGCTGCAGTAAATTACTGGAATGATCACATTTTTTCTCTTGAACTGAGGTATTACTGCAGTGTTTTCATCTCAACTGATTGCTTGTAGATGTAACAGCAGTAGTCTTAAAATATATCTACTAATAGCGAATGCAAAAGTTCGTTGCATTTATTGCAATGCAGAGAATCAGATTCACCTGAAATCTTCAGTAACAAAGAACAGATATTGAAAAATATGTTTACAGTGACTTTTTTTTCAGTATGAAAGTTTATGGATCAATCATTGCTTTGTGTTATTTCTAGAGTTTTGGAATGATATTGTGACATATAAAAAATGACCCTTGCCATGCTGATGCTATTTGACAAACTTTATTTACAAGCATTCCAGTACAGACAGTAGATTAAAGCATGAACATTTAGTAATTAAATATAATAATAATAATAATAATAATAATAATAATAGCATTATTATTATTATTATCATATTTAAGAATAATAAAAACAGTAAACAGTAAAGACAGTAGATTGAAACATAATAATAATAATAAAGATAATAACCTCTTTGTTTTATTATGAATAATAATAATAATAAGATAAAGAGGTTGTTATCTTATTTTTCTTTTATTTTTATTTTTGTTTATTTTTATTTATTTCATCTATTTATTTATTTAATTAATTAATTTACTTATTTATTTGATACAAGTCAGAGAAAATAACACTGTGACGTAAGGGAAAATCTACTTCACTTTTTAAGTTTTGTATTCATAAGAGTAAAATGGTGATTAAAGATCTGGTTTTAATCGCTTTTAACAACTTAATTGATCATTCAGATACAGATTACTTTTATTTGATTACATTGCATAAAAACAGATTTATACTCAAAATATACCAAAATTAAATTCTTCAATATTTCTTTGCATTTATTTTGATTCGAACATTTTGCTTCACTTTGAAGTGCAGATGCAACGTGGAGGAGAGTTTAGTTTTTCCTTCTTGTACATTTTTTTCATACTTTGCCAATTTTATAATACAAAACAAATTGCTGATCAATGCCAAAGCACTCGATTAAAAACATGGGGGTTATTTGCGCTTTTTTCTGACTTTATCTCACACAACTCTGAGTAAAAAATTCGGAATTTTATGTAAGAAAAAAATGTGCGTCACATTAACAGAAAGACAACAGACAATGGTATGTATCAATTTCAATGTCAACTAATTATTTAAAGGCTGCTGATTAATAAATGAAAGGTAGTCTGTGGAAAAAATTACTAAATAGTGCTATAAAATTTGATAACTTTCAGTGAAACTCGTTTTCTTTAATTTTTTCTGTCAATCATTTACACTATTACCTTAACTTTCAAAATAATCCTTTATTTTGAAATACATTTTACATTTTAAACTAGTTGAAATAATAACTAATTATGTATTATTCAAAAAGTAATGAAATCCTTAAAAGAGTCCGTAAATCAATTCAAATGTGATACCAAATAAGACTGAACTTGCAATCTTCTGAATGGACTTAATTTCAAAATTTTGTAAAAATATATATTAATTATTTTATAAGCATTTCTAATAAATGTATTATGATAAAATTTGAAACTATTGTTTCTTTCTTTGTCTGCTTTGGTTGATATTGAATTTTTTCAGTAACCTATTGGTAAATGAAACGAAAAATGCTAAAAAAAGAGTAAAGTCCAATGTGACTTATTCAAAAAGAAATTCAAAACGAAAATTCTTTAAAATTCTTCTAGTGTTGGTGTTTGCCACTGCAAATTCTCAAATAAACAATTGCTTTTAAAACTTTGATTTTAAATATCATTGGTTACATCAAAATACATATATGCACTAATTAAGTGAAACGAAAAATGCTAAAAAAAGAGTAAAGTCCAATGTGACTTATTCAAAAAGAAAAATCAGTAATAAATCAAGTATTTTTGTATGCTGGTACTTTCATGTATCTACTCGTTCATGAAGCTACCTTTTTTTGCTTGATACTCTTAGATATAAAGAATTGATCAAAATTGAAAATTTTGATCAAAAATAGGGAATATAAGTTGAGGAAAATAGTTTTAACTTTATAGAAATAAATGATCTAACTGAACTTTACCTGAACCTAAGAAGAAATGGTTTTTGTGCTACCTTAAACTACATTTAACAATTGTGGCACCAAATTGGCACCAATTACACTATTTGGATGATTTTTTCTAGTTTAATTGAAATATTTCCCCTCATTTCTAATTTTATTTGACATCTATAACTGTTTGCTTCCAAGATAAATATATAGGGAGACAAGAGACTCTGAAAGCTGACGCTGCAATTTCAAAAGAAATGAAAAGTGCTCTCTTAGCGTTTACATAAGTTTTACTTCTGAGCAGAAACTGTGATACAAGCAAGACATTCACAAACGATGAATAATGTACTGCTTAATGGAGATCAATTTGCAATCTCTTCCATGCATGCTTATCATGTATTCATTTTTGTTTATTGCATTTTCTGCAATTCTTATCAAACAAAAAGTATGCTCAACATGTCTATTAAACGCATTTTCAAATCTTCTACTTTTGCAACATGTCAATAAATTTGGTATACTCTCTGCTTGTTTGTGATAGATACTAAAAGCAGTTACTGCATATTTGTTATTTCTGTTTCCCATTTTCTTGGCTCAATTAAACTTTTGTAGAATCTCTCCAAAGCAATAGAACTGTTGTAAATGTGTATAAATGATTCAAAAATCAGCTAAATTATTGTGATGATTCATTTTACATAAAAGTTTTCAATAAATTTTATGTTAGTATTTTGGAGGAGATGTCAAGTTATGAAAATTGCGCGTAGATGAATTTTGATATTTCTTATGCAGTCCAATTTTGCAGTCCTGTTGACTGCAGTCCAATTTTCGAATACACAGAAGAATCTGCTGCGAACTGTAAATCTTTTGAAAGAACGATAGTAGTAGTAGTACAAATGCTATGAGTAAGTATTAAGTAGACCAAAAAGCTCGCATTATTAATAATAAATAAAACAAACAAATTTTTAGAAAATCAGTTATTGCATATAAAAAATTTAGAAGATTTAAAGTGTAATAGTAATATAAGAAAATCAATTTTGCATAAAACTTTAAAGTGTACAGAAGAAGTGATTTTTGGTTTTTAAAATTTTACTTAACAGAAAAAACTTATTGCTAATTGTTAAAAATCAAAGCGTAAAACAAGGAATTCTTTGTTACAAAATGCTTCTTTCAATTAACACAGAATCGAGTTGAAAATAATGAATGCTTTGAAAATAAAATGAAAGCAATAAGAAAAAAATGATACAGAAAAATTTTATCTCATTTTTCTGGCATTACAATAAGCAATTCATTGTATACTGTGATGCCATGTAAGTATGTGTTATTTTTTCTTAAAGAACTCCTGAATATCATTGTTAGCCTAGTATTTTTGCAACAACTGATGCGCAAATTTTTGTTTCTTAGCCATTTCTAAATTATATTAAGACAGCAACGATTCTGAAAGTCTTAATAATCTGAAGTTTTTTTTTTAAATGTTTGTTTTTTGAACTAGTGAAAATCACATAAACTTTTGCTGTTTTCTTTTTTATTATAGAGTGAAAGGTTAGAAAAGAAAAATTACAACATGACAGGTGTTAATAAACAAAACAGTTTAACAAATGGACAATTATGCAATAATAAAAATGTTACAAAGCGCAAAATATATCAATTAATTATTTTTTAATGGAAGGAATAATTCAAAATACATTGGCCGCAGTTATTGAGCAAAGGTAAAAAAGGTATTCAAATTGAGAACTGCAAAAAAAGTTTTTATTCTATTTAAGGTAGGACAGTAAGTTTGATCCATTGCACTCACTCTTTTCTCCTCCTTACATAATATTACTTCTATTGTTTCAGTTTAATTTGCATGCAGCAGTTGCTGCAGCAGCTACTCATCGCCTCTCATTTCTACTATTACACTTTATTTTATTGTTAATTAAATAGTGCTCTGATATCACGCACAAAATGCACGCTGAAGTAAAAATTGTGTTTCAGATACTACATTTTATATTAGTGTGTAAACTGTTTCACCTAACTTCGGTTCACATATAATTTTTATTTAGCTTCGTTTGAAAATCTAAATAAAACTTGTCTAATCAAACCGTGTGGAATATTATCTATCCATTTCATGTGTGTTTTTTGCCCAATGTATTCACATTTTGTTCTAACCGTACTTCTAATCCTGGTAACTATTCCTTATTCATTCAGAAAGATTAAAAACTTATAGTCCGACATATTTAGATAGCAAAATGATATATAAATTTGAAAAATTATGACCAAAGATGTTGACAGTTATGACTTAAACTAATTTTTTTAGTCATCAGTAGAGAAAATACTTTAGGAAATCCACCTAATTCATAACATTAATCTAATCAAATATGTAATATTTTTTTACAGTGATGATCTACATCATTTGGCATTTCTCTTTGCTTGTAAATAATTTGCATCTTCTATAACTTTCTAAATGATAAAATCTTTAATAACTGTTCGAAACAAAAGTTATTCAAAAATAAACATAAACATAAACTATACTTCCAAATAATCCAATTTTAACTATTAAAAACATTTTCAATCAGTTTCTTACTTTTTTTAACTTGTTAAATTTTATATTTTTCCCTAAATAATAGTTTAATACAGTTTTTCACAATTTTTCAATAAGTTTTAGTTTAACGCTGATCATGCAAGCGCAAGTCAGCGATCTTATGTTAACCAGTTCGTGGAAAAGATGATACAAGGCCATCAAATGGTGCTTTTTTCAAAAACTTACTGCTCGTACAGTCACAAAATGAAGCATTTATTACGCAAATATCATATTAGAGATCAAAGAATTATAGAGCTTGATCTTGAACCCAACATGCATTTAATTCAGGTAATTTTCAAACTTGATATCAACTCAAAATTTTATAAAGATCAAGAATCAAGTTTGCTTCACACGAAATCGCAAAGCATTGAGAATAGCATTTTGCGCCTAATGAAAACATTTTTGAGATTTTATTGATGTGATGTAATTTCGAATTTTTTAGGATAAAATTTTTCTTGTTTTGCTGATAATTAACTTGCTCAAAAAATAGTTTTTGTATTTTTTGCAACACAATATTTGTTTTAAAATTTGGAAGAAAAATTAATTTATAGTAGTTAGGTATATTTTGTTAAATATTCATATTCTGAGAGTCTTTTGTTTGTCGAGTGTCAATTTGTCTTGTCTTTTTAGAAGGGTTGATAAGGACTGAATGAAAGTATCGTCAAGAAGAAGAAAATTAATCACCATAACACAATAATGGTTTTGTTTTACTTCAAAAGTTGAATAAATTAAAGCATCAAAATAAATACATCAATTAAGAAAAAGAAAACAACAACACGAAAACTTTTATTGGGAAAATGAAAGAATTAAGGAAGTAAAAACATTTGTTTATTTTTTAACTTGTCATACCATTAAAAATATAAATAACTGCAGAAATCCTAAGCATTCAAATATATCCCATAATTATCCGCAAAATTGGTCGTTTCAAAAGTGAGCAAGTAAAACAATGTGATTCTGATGGTTTTATTGCAAATGAGTTTTAAAAACTTGAAAATGGGAAATTATTACTGTAAATCATTATATTTTGATGGAAAGTGTAAATAAATGATAAATCTCAAGGTATTTTTGCAAATTTTTTTTTGCCAGTTTTGAAAATTAATCATTTACTGTACCAACTGTATTTTGGCCAGAAAAATTATATTAATAAATTGATATGCGTATATTTTAAATAAAAGCTATAAATAACTGTAATAAGCACTGAAGTTGAATGAATTAAATTTTGTGCAGTGCAATGGTACAATCATCAAAAAGCTATCAACTTCAGTGCTTTTGCTCACTTTTGAAATGAACACTTCCAAGGAACACAATTAACTTTGATGCTAATAAGCATTTATTCATTTTTTTGTCATAAACCATGGAGGCCCCTGTTAATTTTTTGGCTCAAATTGAACTTGTGATGGGTGATATGTGCAGTGTGCTCAGTAAAGCATTAATTTTTATACTGTATTACCAAACAATCAGGTTTAAAACTCTTCCCATTTATTGGAATCGTATTTTATTTATAAGTTATTGCAACACCATTTATGTACATCTAAAGCTAACAAAATTTATTTTTGCTCACTGAATTATCAAGTATAAAGCATAAAAATTGCAAGTTGAGATTCCTTTTCAGCATTTTTAAAGATTTATTTGTAATTATTTGTCTTCGACTGTTGTTGCATTTTTTAATTGTTTCAACTATCGAAATACCTCTGAAAGTTGAAGATATCCTAAAACAGTCGTTCTTTGGAAGTTTTCTTTTGTATAATTTAAATTTAGATTTTCGAGTTGCCTTACTGTTATTTTCTGAGGTATTTACCTAATATAGGTGTTATAAATAAAACTGAATAATTTAGGACAGGTCCTGTTATTGATTGATTTTTAATTTCATAAATCGTTAATGATCTCTTTTAAATCAGCTAATTAAAACCATTTCTGTCAGTATAAAATGTTTAGCAGATAAAATTAGCGAGAACAGATCTTGATTCCGAAAATGCCTTATTCGTGAATCAGAAGCATTTTCTTTTCGCTCTGTGAATAAATTTCAGCTATCGAAAACTTACTTCAGCGAGAATGGATTAATGCACAAAATTTTTGAGTCGTACATCACTAAATAGAGTTTGAAATAAAATTCAAAAATTAATTCCAGGATTATCTCATGTACAGAACGGGTGGTATTCGGACAGTACCACAATTATATATCAAGGGGAGATTCATTGGTGGTTTTGATTCAACTCACGCGAAAGAACGAAATGGCGAATTAGCCACGATATTTGCGCGTGCAGGAATAACGCACAAAAGCTCATAAATAATGTATTACTGACAAAAATCATAGATAAAATAATCGGGTTGTAGCATTTTTTGCGCTTTGAAACAAAAATCAAGGAAAATAGAGGCCATACGACAATTCATATACAATAAACAGATTTTATCGCTTACCTGAAATCCTACTAGGGTTGCAGTATGATTCTACCATTGATATGTGGTCTCTGGGTATGTCGTCATGTTTCAATTTTTTAATTTAACATTTAATGTCTGCTTAATCATTGCTAATATAATTCACGTCAACAGTGTAGTTATATATTGCAAGGAATATTAATCTTCCACTTCATCAAATTTTAAGTTTTATTTTTGCAACAGGTAAAAATTTAACTGGTATTATATAAACTTTCTGCTATCAACTTTCTTGTACTTGAACACTCTACATCCTTAATGACCACAACATGCTCATTAGTATTTATTTCACATTTTTAACTGCCAATGAATCCAGCACGATTAAGAAGTCACTGCTTTGAACGATGAAATCGATTACCATTAAACTTGAATCCAATCAAAACCTTATTCAATTAAAACTGAAAGAACCAAAAACGTTAATCTGGCGTCTATTTCCTAGAACATGTACTTAATACATCCATTAGATGGATAAGAATCTGAAGTTTGAATTTTCTTAAGTTGAAATTGCAAAGTAATACCAACACAATTATTGTTTGTACTAATCAGTCTGATTAAAAAATATTCTTTATCCAAATCTGCAAATAGAAAAGAGAATCTACTCTCTATGCATTAATTTTCATATTATTGTAACAAATGCTTCTAATTTCATGTTCCAATTAGTTTGAACACCTTAATAAAAATGCTTATTTACAGATTTTACCAGAAAAATGTCCCACGAGAAGTATAGCTTTGTTATGCTTTCCAAGAACTGAAAAGGATTCCACAGAACCAAGGAATATTAAAATCATCATGAATACTACCACAAAAATTCCAATTCACATCTCAATTCTCACATAAATTTACATTATTCCTTACCCTACTAAGTCAAGATTTTCACCATCAAATTTTACTAACTGATCTGCACTCATTGATATTATTTTGAAAAACAAAAAAGAAAGTTAATGTTATATCTTGCTAATTCTACCGCAAAATCAAATAGCGAAAAAGTAGAACCGCAGCTGACATCAATAGTTAAATTTGATCAATGTTAACAAGAAGAAAAATGATGCAATTGCATTTCCTTTTATTAGCGTTGACGAATTGGCTTGACTAAAATTTGTTGAGAAAATAACACCAATAAAATATGACAATCCAAAAGTATTGACAGTTTCAAAAAAATAACATTGCTATTCTACGCACACTGCTTTGTTAATGATATAATGAAAGCCGTTTAATCTTCAATGTATTAATTGCATTACTGTACTGGCGCTTAGAAACACTTCCAGTTTTATATTGGGAATATATAACACACAAATGGCCCCAACCACAAGTTAACCCAGAATTTATGCTTTAGAAAACCCACCTTTATTCTCATGTACAATAACTTCCATTGCAAGTATTGACAAAAGAAACTTTTCGGATTCAAATGTTCAGTGAACTTTGTAAGAGTAAAAGAACATCCTTTCGTAGTACGTAATCCTCAGCTTCAGTGAAAAACATGAACAAACATTTACATTTTTTTGCGAACTTTATTCACACTTGTTCTGAACACAACAAACGTTGGCCTAAAAGCTTTCAAAGTTAATCATATTGATATCTGTAAGCAGAGAAACTATTATGCACTAAATTTTAAAAGCTCAGGAAGTAGTAAGTGTACATAATCTTGAACCTGTGTGATTGAAAATTTACTAAATGAGATTACCAGAACGACACGATTTTGTAATGTCTGGCAGTTGCATTAAACGGCAACCGTATAATGGAAACATTTAAGAAAAGTCTATCAACTTAGTTCTTAGATTTCATACAAGGAAACACGTATTTTAAGAGAAAGGACAACGAAATTCTTAAGAAATAGGAGAGTAGGGAAAACCAAGTATGTTACTGAAAAGAGTAGTATGAGTAGAAAGCGCTAGCAAATGATTCATCAAATCACGAAAGCCATTTCATTGAATGAATGAGACTGACAAAATTTAATATGAAAGAATACTATTTGTATAGACAAGTAATGATATTGTTAACCATCTGATACAATTTTAGAACATAACATAGCAATCAAAGAAATATCATGCACAGAACACTGCATATATATTAATTACATACAGAAGAAATTCAACTGGAAATTTTTCAGTAAGCGTAAAGAAAATGATGAGCGCACATATTAGATTGAAAAATTAATATGTACACATTGTAGAAATAGTGCAAAAATGATAAGACCAGAAATAGAGATAGGGATAGTAGCACTCAGCCCGTAGCAATCAATGTGAAAATCAGATTACGCAAACTGAAAAATAATAGAGAATTTTTGTTTGACGAATCGGAAAGGTCAAACACAAAGTTACCATCAGAAAATATCATTCAAAATTATTTAAAAAAGCAATTCAAAACATCAAAAGTAGAGAGAGAACTGCACAAGACAGTAAACACTATTTTGTGCGAAAGAAGTTATAATGTTAATTTTATATATAAAGAAAACTTTTATACACAAGAAAATTGGTAGCGAAAACATAAAGTGCATTATCTGCAAGATCTTGAATCTAACAACATACGAAATTTCAGTTATTATGAAGAGTAGGATTCTTTCACATGTTTTCCATACCAACTATTTAATCATAATTTTTTAAAATGTATAATGTAGATGATCCTAAAACATTATATATATATATATAT